ATGCATTACCTACCTTGATAATTGTTTACCATCCTTGAAGATGTTTTTGTTTATAAAGGCGTAGTGTGCTTAGTATGCTTTATGGTAGGCTTTCAAAGTAAAAGTTTCGATACAATCAAAGATGGCATACTGGCCAAAGAAAGAAAAGATGTAGAATGAATTAGAGACTAGTCGGGTGACTTATCTTGAATTGTGGGTAATGTTGCCGACTATGTCGCTTAAAGGCCACTCATTGTGGATCTTTTGAACGAGACACTTTGTAGTACTGGTCACATACTCCGGTAAGCCTACTTGACTAATCCGATGCTAAGACGAATGCCCGCAAGACCGAGAGTGGAGAGATGGCGGAGATAGCGTGTACCCTCGTGGTGGAATGTGGCCGAATTTGAGGTGTGTTTGTGCTCTCGGGTGGCGTGGAGACGGCTTAGTATAGGAGGATCCGTGGCGAGGTTGATATATGCAAGATTAAATTCTACATATGTCGTGTGATAAGGAATCCCAAATTGGGACTTGAATCAATTCGAATTGCCGGTGCTCATGGATATGGAGACTCGATTCATTACGAAGCAATGCAAGATCGGTGAATTACTAAAATATGAGAAAAAGAACGGAATGAGAAGGAATGGAATATGGGAAATGTATATTTAGTTGAGATAATGAACTAAAAGAACTTAGTGGTAAACTTGAAAATAGAATGAAGAATAGTAAGCTTTTGGCTAAGAACTTTTGAATCTTGCTTCATCCTTACCTTGTCCCAAATCCTCGCATCTCGAAAGTCTTACACCCCTGCTACGTCGGGTTAGTCTTGTTGAGTACTTTTGTACTCGTGGTTTGTTAACCCTTGTTGCGGGTGAGTCGCATGCGCAGCTTGTTTTGGTCCCTCACGTATGTCTCGTGTTCAAGTCAATGACGATGAGGATTGATGAATGGCCTTTGGACAAGGCACTAGTTTGTATGATAAATAAAGTTAATGTAATATTATCCCGCTACTATGGTCGTATGACACTTATGGTATTGTAAGTTTGAAAACAACTGGTTTGTAATAATACTAACTTAAGACTTCCGCTATCTTTTACTCGTATATATATTTGAATAAACTGCTGTAATCTGCAAATGACCGTGATTGGGATCCTGTTTAAAAGAGAACGTGGATGATTCGGGTTTCCAGGGACACCCGACAGACACTGTTGAGTTGTTGGGAACTCGTGTACGCTATCCGAGGTCCTCATTAAGACAACGATAGGTGCATGTGGGCCCAATTCCTTAGGAGGTTCTCACCACACCCGTCCCCGCCTGCACGCTCCTGGGCACTAGCAAGCCCGCTCTTCTTTGCAGTCACGAGTCACAACACCAGAGAGTACTTGCCAACATCCTTTCAACCTCCCGATGTTTCCTCTAGGGCTACATACAAGAGAGGATCCTTAAATCATAATCCTAAGCTTAAAATGCTTGCATGTGGTAGTTTTTCAAGATACGGAGGCCACAATTTATGATTTTTCGACACTTATTGTCTTATGTGGCACCCTTAGATATAAAATATCAAGTGTCAGCTCTTTTACTATTTAGGGTGTCTTTGGTAGGAATACTCCAAATTGTTCCTATTGGAAAATAAGAGATACCAAATAAAATCTGTTTCTGGAGACAAACAAGAGAATCCCTAAGTCAGAACTAGAAGCGAAATTGGTTCCTCTCTAAAAATGTTGCTTCAAGAAACCAAATTCCTAACAGGCCTAGAATAACTTTTAGGCCCCCTTTTGGAACAGGAAAGCAAAAAAAAAAAAAGTTCCACATGAATATAGTTGCAAAACAGAGGATTGGAAACACACAAAACACTTTTAGGAATGATCACTTAGATAGGCCATACAAAAAATATAAGATTTTTACCAAGAGGTTTGAGTGGATACTAAATTTCCTCCAAAACAGCAGTGAAAGAAAAATTCCCTAGACCATTTATATACTCTATTCGTGTGAACCAAAGTCAATCAATAGCAATTCCTATAAGATTCCCAATCCTATGCTTTTCCTTCATTTGTCCAATATATATAAACCAAAGGAGGCCTTAATCAATAAAAGACAAACGTTATATAATGATTTGCTCAGTCTCCGACCTTAGTTAAATGAGATGTGCACAAATCTACCCTGTCACACAATTTATACTTAATCTTGCACTACATTCTTTTTTTGGAAAAAAATGGATGTAAATAGCCAGTTAGATCAACAGGATTTTATGGAAGTAACAAGAAACTATACTAAAATCAATAGCAATTCTCATCAGTGCAATCGTAATCAGCAATGGCAATGTGGCATCGCCAACACCCCGTGAAGGAAAGAAAGAACTGCAAACACTAGACATAAACAAAACCAATCCACATTAAAAAAAAACTAATCCAGCTTGCTTATTATTCATCACATCCGGGGCTTGCTGCCTATTATTTCAAATAAATACAACAGCACAACTACAGGCGCTAGCTAGGTTTGTCTTCGCAGAATAGTAATATAATATTACAAAGGTGGAACAGGCTCAACATGATCCCTCACAATGTTCACCGAGAAAAGAACACTTTGAATACAATGGCAGATGACTCGTGTGCCATATATGAAGCCTTCTAATCGGCGCGAGATTGGCCTGCACGGGATGAGAGGATGATACCGACGATGAGACCATAAAGAGCAAGAGCTTCTGCGAAGATAAGAATCAGAATCATGCCCACAAACAACTTTGGCTGCTGTGCATTCGCCCTGGAGAGGAGATAATAAATCAGAATAAGATAAGAATGACATCTTGCTGGATATAATTATATAAGGTTTAAGCTGTAGAAAATTTGACTGTGTAAGAGAATATATACCCCCTGATAAAGAAAATCTAGTGCATACTAGCAATAAATAAAATAAACTGCTGTCTATAACGGGCATACTATTTATGCTCACTCTGAATAAACTTAGTACAAGAGAGCTCTAGAAGTACCAAAAAGCTAAGGTAACAAAAGAAACCAATTAAATTATTTTCCTGACATTCATTTACAAATATGTTAAAGAAGGTCAACTGGAAATAAGGCAAGGGTGCCAACTTACTGCAAACAAGGGCGAATATGTAGAAAATCTAGAGGCGTAACAAAATGTATTCCCTGATAATAAAATATAGTGGATAACTGGATACAAGCAACAAATAACAGAAACTGGTGGGTACAATGGCATATTATTTGTACTCAACCAGAACTAACTTGGTATAACAGAGCTTCATAAGTACTGAAGCATAACATAGGAACAGAAATGAATAGAAGTGTTTGCATGCCCTTCATTGACGGAACTCATTAAAGCAGGTCAGCTGAGAAAAATCAAGGCAAATTGCTAGTGATGGTATTAGCATACGGAACGGAAGTGTTAGGGATTTCACAACAGAATTTCCTCAAACCCCAACAACCAAAATTACAAAAGGGATCCTTAATGCCACAGGTTCACAGGCCACAGCCCTTTAACAATTTCCTCCCTCCCCATTCCCCAAGTCCAGGGAACATGCCTAGCTCACATGGAGCAGTGTAACAGATGAGTATCTTAAAAACTCCATTCCTTGGAACAGATCGTGAAATGAGATTCAAAATCGTCGCGGGACTGAAGGAGTGTAAATTGTGAAATTCAAAATCAGAGCTAAAAACAGGTTTGCGAGGTATCAATGAATCCACTGCTATCTCACTATCTACGTAATTTGCATGTTTGAGAGATGCAAAGGAGCTAAAACTGGTAACCTTGCTATATGCAACTACTGAAGCATGCTCAATTCAGTGGAAGTAATAACATAGCACAAATATTTGGTTCTTTGAGATTCGGGGGCTGCAGCACAGGGCCATAGATATGCCCTCCAGAAAGGCATAGTATCATGTCACTTGTCACACTCAAAAAATCCTTAAACCGAGAAGCATAGACATAGTTAAATGAAAATAACTCGTCTATAATATATAAGCATCAATCAACCTCATGAAGGTTTGCAAGGTCTCAGTGGATGAGCCAGTACCGTACTCTAATTCGCAAGGTAAATGGACACACCAACCTCATGAATGAGCTTTTCTCTTGATTACAATATCTCTAGGGTCAAAAATGGACAACTTTGATATACATAACTACTGACGTTGAAGTATGCGCAATTCAGAGAAAGTAGCAACACAATGTGAATCTTTGTCTCCTTGAAGTTCAGATGCTGTAGAGCCACGGGGACATAGATATTCCAGGCACAAACAACAGCATAGTAACAGGTCAGGTCCTAGAATGACAAGCATAGCATAGCTAAATCAACATATATGACACACCAACTCATCTTGCCTAACACAATACTCATATTAATCAATCAAGCAACACAAGATAGAAAATCTAATCATTTTCATCAGTCGATTGACAAGAGTACAAGACAAAATCTGATCAATTAGCCTTGGAACTATCGTGATAGTTAGACCAGGCTGATCAAATCACCCATCCTACATTGCTAATTGCTTGATCTATCTTGACGGCAGTTTTAATTTTAACTGGGAATCAATTAGCACTATGATGACGATGTCAGTTAAAACGTGTAGGACATGTAGAAAGGATGGCAGCTGCAATCAGAGTTAGTACAGTACCGGACTCCGGCGTCACCGACGATACCGATGGCCATGCCGGCGGCGAGCCCTGCGAGGCCGCAGGCGAGTCCGGAGGAGAGGTGCGCGTAGCCGTCGAAGAGGTAGTAGGGCTTGGCCTTGGGGTTGATCCCGGTGGAGATGATGACGGCGATGATGAGACCGTAGATGCCGAGGACTCCGGCCATGACGACGGGGACGATGGACTTCATGACGAGCTCGGGGCGCATGACGCCCATGGACGCGACGCCGACGCCGCTCTTGGCCGTCCCGTAGGCGGCGCCCATGCCTAGGCATCATCAGAGAGAGAGGGTGAGGGGAGGGGGAGTAAGGAATGGATGGATCCCCGCGGGAAAGAGATAGGGACAGAGATCTGATGGGTGCTTACAGGAGAAGATGAGCGCGGCGGCGGCGCCGAGGAAGCCAAAGAAGGGCGCCGTCTCGTCGCCGCTGAAGGTGGAGGTCGCCATGGGTGGAGGTGGAGGAGAGGACGGCGCGGGATCTCTTCTTGCTCTCGCCGGAGGAGAGGAGGGACGGGGTCAGGGTCAGGGTCAGGCCACGACGCAGCTTCTTCGCTTCGCTTGGATCTGCTTGCCTCCCCGTTTATTCTTCTTCTTCTTTCTTGTTTCTGTGGACTGGAATTGCCATGGCAAAGAACAAAAATACAATAATATACCGGTATTCCTTCATGCCCTCATGGGCCGAGATTGAGATCCCTCTTTGGACTAGGCCCAAGGCTACATCCGTCACTAATGATGACCTCCCTCTTTGGGCTAGGCCCATGGTCCATGAAATGAATGCAGACCGTTTTGGTAGAGAGATTGAGAATATATAGGGCCCGTTTGGTTTCTAAAGGAGCTCCTAAAATTCCTATCATATCGAATGTTTGACACATACATGAAGTATTAAATATAGACTAATTATGAAACTAATTGCATAACTTGCGACTAATTTGCGAGACGAATCTTTTAAGCCTAATCAGTCCATGATTTGACAACGTGGTGCTACAGTAAATATGTGCTAATAACGGATTAATTAGGCTTAAAAAAATCGTCTCGCAAATTAGTCTCCATCTATGTAATTGGTTCTGTAATTAATCTATATTTAATGCTCCTTATTAGTATCTAAACATTCGATGTGACATGAATTTTAGGAGCGACTAAAGAACCAAACACCCCCTATAGTCCCAAAGCAATGAGATGGTTTTTATTATACCTGTTGAATCATCTAGACACTCGTTCACAAAAAAAAAATCATCTAGACACTATATATATAAATCATATGTAAAATGGATAATTTAACAAAAAAATGTCTAATTGTGTGTCTTCTCTATCACATCTTAGTTTCCATGTAGACATAGTTTCTTGTCTATATGAAAACTATTTTCTCATACCTCTTGTTTAATTCTAAAATCACATCATAATTTTGCTCAGTTAGCATCCTAACTAATGAATATAGAAACTATTCTATTTTCTAAGGTTTGGAGTGCCCTAAGGGAGAGGGAGGCGTAGAGTCAAACATGCCATGCACGCATGTCAGCACTAAGCTAAGCTACCTCCATCTCGTGTGGAAGAGACGAAGAGTACGGATTTGTGGTGAACGACCTAATAAAAGTTTTATACATTCTTTTAGGTTAACATACCAAGTGATACTCCTTGGTAAATTTAGGGTTGCTGGTGCGTTTTACTCTTATTTCAATCACATATATGACCACACCTCACATGTCACTCACTAGCTTGGTGCTCTAAATGAGAAGTGCCTCCCAATGCAAGTGGGTAGCATGGAGCAAAAAAAAAAAAAAATCCCATGCAAGTCTCCAATACCAGATAGAAGCTCTATGCAATACGTTGTGATAGTGTGTTTTACTTTATCTTGCACATCTGTTAATTTTCTTCTAAAACTTTGATCAATATTAAGTTTCACACGCTTTGAACCAGAGGCGAAGCAAGCTAGAATTTGGAAATGATGAATGAAGCATATATATCTAGCTAGCTCCACACCTGCAAGTTAAGCTACGTACGTACTATATATGATGATGAACAATCAATCCTAGCTATCTAGCAGAGGAAGCCCTGCAGATGCAGACAGTACATTTGAGTTGACGACACAGTACACTATACAGTATTGTGTTTTTGCGTGTCGGCTGTTAGTTCATGTGTCCATCGATCGCACATCTTATCAGATCATCATGTGGTAGATCTACGTACGGCGGCTGCCATGCACACACACGCACACCTTTGCTTTGCTTTGTGCTTTTGGCCGCCAATATGCATGGATGCATTATTACAACCTTAACCAGTAAGCTATATCTTTCTTTTTTAGAGCAACCGCCAGTACAGTAAGCAATCTCGCTCTTTTGAGAGCAACCACCAGTATATAATAAGCTCCCTATGAGAGGGTGCACTTCTCTTGTAGGTGTGAAAATTCATGGTGAAAATTTGATGATTTTTCAAATTTTTGAGGGTGCATCCGGATCCACAGGCCACTACGTAGCTTGGACACTGCATATGGCTCGCTACATTGTATTTATGACCTATATGACGTGGCAAAATATGACCTAATGTCATCTCATTTCCGGAGAGTTTTTATATGGGTAAAAAAACAATTATATTGCTTCATAATTTGTTTATTATACCAGGATATTGCTGCATGCAAGTATATTTTGACACGTGTGCCGGCTACAGATAAAAATGTACAGTGTCATTTTTTAGCTCCATCATCAGCTAGTTGAGTTGCTGTGTCATCGAGCATGTTTTTTTGGACACGTGTGCTGCGTCTTTTGTACGGCCGATGATCCATCATATCATGTGAAAATTTTGCATTTTGGTCCATTTTAAAAACATTTTTTATAAAAAGACACCTGCCAAAACTTTTGCTACAAATAGACCATTTTTAAGCGTCTTAGGAAATCACGCCGAGGTATGAAGGTCGGCGTCGACTGACACGACGCCGAGTCCTTGCCACGTCACCGACGACTCCGGGGCTGGCGCATGGGGCCCAGTACGTCGGCGTCGTGTCAACCAACGCCACAGGCCTAAATTCGGCGCTGTGGGGAGTCACGCCGAGCTCTTGGCACCATCCGGCGCACGGCCCAGGCGGCCCAACAACGCTTCGTGGGCCAAGAGGTCGGCGTGCGATCAGATAACGCCGAGACGCTAACCTCGGCGCGGCCCGACTCAACGCCGAGGTTCGGTCAGTTGAGGCCGCGCCGCGGCCCCCTTCTTCCTCCTCCCTCCATTCAGAATCAACAGGTGGCCATTTCCCACTCCCTCTCTCTTCCCACGAACCCTAAATCCTAAATCCAGCTCTTGGGAGGCCAGATCGAGGGTTTTGACGTTTTGCCAAGGTACTCCTCTTTCCCCTCTTTCATTTCATCCATTTAGATTCGGTTGTTTGTGTTTTTTTTTGAACTTGGCGTTATAGGTTTGGTTCATGTTCATGTCATTCGTGCAATGTATGGTGGTTCAAATGATTGAATGACCTAAATGTATGGTTGTTGTTGTTGTATATGTTCTGGTTTATAATCATTGAGTTAAATTTTGTGTTTATTGGGATTCAAATTTGCTTAGGGTTTGTAATGAAAAGCTTATTTGGGAGGTATGCTGATTTAGTGTTAGTAGCTTTACATTCGTTGCAAGGTACTTTGGATTGATTTTTTTTCTACGTAATGTTAGGATGCCAAGGCGTGGTAAAGCTCGTATTCCAAGGTAATCTCAATGTTTATTCATTATTTGTGCAACAAATAGAAAACCCTAGGTTTAGGTTTAGTTCTCCGTTAATATGACTAAATTCTTTCAATTTTACCTATGGTCGCCAGAGGGCAAATCCCTACGACCTAAAGCCTCTCCCTGAAGGTGTTCCTCGACCCATGTGCTTTTGTGGTGATCCTTGCAAGGTAGACATCTCTGAAGATGAGAAACATATAGACAGAGGTACTAGATGTGTCCCAATTATGCATGGGAACCTACAAAGCAACAGCGTCGTGCATCGATTGTGAGGAATTTTTATTGTGTGTTAATTAATTTTCTTGTGATATTAAGTATTGCTTATTTATTTGTTTTGTAACAATTTGTTTTTCTTGCAGACCGTTCCACCACTGTGTGACTTTGAGCAGTGGATTGACACTGAGATCAAGGAGTCGGACAAGCAGCATCTAGAAGGCCTGAAGGAGTGGGATGCGGAGGTTAAGGAGAGGTTTGAGCAGAGACGCAAATATGAGGCTATAGAAAAGGAGCATAAGGAAGAGGAGGAAAGGAGGCGTGTTGCTGCGTATAGGGCGGAGAGGGAGAAGAAGCTTGAGCGTGTGCGCCGAGCGAAGGCAGCGATGGAGGAGAATCCCGATGCCTAGAGGAAGGGAAAGTGGCCTCGTTGCACTCAGTAGGTATTTGGTTTATTCATGAGCGATGTCGTGTAGCCCTGGACTTTTTTTACTATGTTGTAATGCACTCTGCTTTTATTTCAGATGAACTTATTCCCTGGACTTTTTTTATTATGTTGTAATGCACTATGCTTTTATTTCAGATGGTCTTATGCCCTGTACTTCGTTAACTATCCTAGGACTGTAGTGCTACTGTTTGTATCACTGAAAAGGCTACTTGTGCTGTTGCAGTCACTGAAAGGGCTACAAGTACTGTTGCAGTCAATGAAAAGTCTATTTGAAAACTCACTGAAAAGCCTAGATTCGTTTACTGTTGTATCCGTATACGCAATGAATTAATATCAGAGTGATGTACTGCATTTAGATGAAGTGACAAAACACAGGTGTAGCCTTTTCAGATGAAATGACCAGTCATGGTTGTAGGCTTTTCAGATGAAGTATCTAGCCTTTGCAGATTCAATAAATGAGTACGCACACAAGTTTTTTGTCAAGTAGCATTCATGGTGAACCTGCCTTCATCTCTATATATAGTGCTCCACGTCTAGCTCCACATCCACACAATTTGTTTTCTGGTTTAGTTTTAGCAAATGTCGAGCGGAGGTTCCTCGAGTGGAAAGGGTTTCGGCGGAGGGAGAGGAAGGGACCTCCGATTGTGTGGGAGGGTTCTCTGGGTCCTGATTCTTTTGAAGAACCAATAGAGGAATTTCCTTTGGAGAGGAAGAGTGACTTCACCCGTGAGAGACCTCTTAGATCATACGACAAGCGCATTGAAGATTGGCCAAAATGCCGCCACGGTTTGGATTGCGTTGTGCAGATGTACAACGACTGTGACGGTGGAGGCCGTCTTTTCTTCAGATGCCCGCGAGGATTTGTATTTCCTTTGAACTCTCTCTTTTTTAGATTTGCATTTGGTTTATAGTAGTACTTATTGGTAGATGGGTTTTCAGGATTCAAGCTGTCCAGATAACTGTGGCTTCACTAGATGGGTCGACCCTCCTCCTATCTATCCCCATCAACAGTACATCACATATCTACAGGGACGCATCTTTGACCTAGAGTATGGCCCTGGAAGTGGTAACAGGGACAAGTCGGACGACGACAACAGCAATGATGCAGAGGAGGCACTATGCAATAATCCGTACTGCTAGTGCCCGTACCATAAGAAGCACGGGCCTCCTTCTCCACCGCCACCGCCACCGCTGCCGTCAACTGGAGGATACTATGGGGAAGGTGCAACTCAGTTTAATATGTGGGAGCATTATTAGGACCAACCTTTATTAGTCAATCCGAATGTGGAATGCTTGTATGAGTTGTTCTTTTCAATCTCCTAAGG